TATATATATATAATATAGCTGTATGTTAGTCATTAAATCCAGCTGAAAGATACCACTTCAAGAAACAAAAGACAAGTATATTACTTGGTACAAGCCTAATAAAACAGCTGTTTCATGGCTTTTATGCACAACCATCTCTGTCTAAGTTTTTCTTTTTACTGTGACCCATGTTGACTAATACAGTGTTTGAAAAAAAACTTAGTTGTTGTAAGTACTTTAAAAATTAATCAAAGTCTAGACAGAGCTTCTTCTTTATTTTCAGACTAATACATGACAGAGAACTGAACTGACTCTGTATGATGGCACCAGATTGTTAAGAGAAGATAGATACCGAAACTTAAAAGAAGAATTACAGCTCTCTGATGAAAAACTACAGGAAAGGTAAAGTGTCAGCTATGACTATAGAATGCAAACAGAATTTTATTTTTTAAATTTTTTTAAAATAAAAATTGCAAAATGCTTTTCTATTAAATCAATGCCTTCTAATCACTAAGAGAATCATCTTTTAAACATCAGTTTCCTTGTGAGCTCTTTTTGTGGCATGGGAAAATTATATCCTGTTTAAAGTGCTTGAACTAAAGGAAAACATTCAATATCCTTTAAGAGAAGGAGTTAGAAACTGAAGAGAGATTATAAGTACATATGAAAATAGATATAAAGCTAGATAGTATTCAATTTTGGAGCATTTTATTAAAAGTCTTGAAAAATAAAGGTAAATTGAAGTTAAATTTTACTTGATACATTCTTTTGCCTCATTAGCTAGAAAGCTGGTATTTAATTTACAACTAATATGGAGCAGGAAATCCTAAGGATGGGTTGGGGCCCATTATGCTTATTCTTTTTGTTGCTTCACTTCCACTTGTCTGCTAGGAACATTCCACAGATAGAAATGTTTTCTAGTCCTCTGAAGCATTTCTTGGTAGATAGTCAAACACTGCTGACCAATTTGAGTTAATGGGAGAGATATTGTTGAGTGCATGTCAAAAAAAATGCATTATAAATTCAGTAATATATAAGGAGCTAAAAATATTATGATTCTGAAATGGATTTACCCTCTGAAAAAACAATTCAAGTTTTATGTCAGGTGTCCATGCTCATATTTATACTGCAGGGTGTGCATGTGCCCAGTCTTTGAAGAGTCCTGATCAGTTATGGTAGGGATGCATTCATGATGTGCCACCTGGTTTATCTCAATTGTCTCACCGAATCCAAGATTTTTCTTTGACCTTCTTCATAGTCCACCCTCTAGAAAAGCTGTTTTTCTTTCACTGCCTAGTTGTTTTCTTATTTCTGGTTCCTTTTTTTGTTCAAAATACCGTGGGTTTTAAAAAAAATAAGGCAACCCCCCCCCCGACAAACCAACAAAACCCCAAAACTTCATTTTAAGTCTTCTGGTTTTTTGTAGGTATGTTGTAATCTATGCCTACTTGTTGCAAGTTCTATACACTCTGCTGAGGCCATGCACCTAGTTAGATGGTGATTTCCTGCATTTGTTTTATTTGAGTGAGGAACTGTGTATCAGGGAAGTGTTCTGTTTATCAGGATTTTAAACACAGACTTTAAAAAGAGTAGCAGAGAAACTCCCATCTGGGATGGTATCCTAACTCTGCATTGGACTTCGTACTTCGAAATATATTTATTGTGTGATTCTCCTCCCTGCTCTGTGTTCGTGGTCTTGTCCAAGGTGCTTTCAGGCAGAATGGTAGTGGCTGTGCTGTTTTCCTTACTGCCTAGTGCCATTTAGTTAATTGCCAATATATTCCAAAAACCTAAACAATTCATCACACATTCATCTTCAGTACTGCCCCTCTTACTGGATCAAATCTCTCTTACAGGAATAGAGCTTTAAATCTGGATTCTAACTATGGCTGTTTTGGCAGTGGACTCCCTTTAACCGTAATTATCTATCAGACCATGAGAACTGTCCAAGCTGTCTTACTTAACAATTGTTCTGCAGACCTTTCTCCTTACTGTGTCACCTCTGTATCTACTTTCCTTCCTTTCAGTTTCATTGGGTGACCTTTTGGTTCCATTGTTCAGTGCTAATTGTGCATTGGTTTTGGCTACTTTGGAGGCTACAAACGTTTATTGGGGTTTTTTTTGGTTTGTTTTTTCTTTTTGGCTTTCCTTGAAAGGCTATCCCCCTTCAGATTGCTTTTACCTGGCTACCTTAATATTTTGCAACATAGTGTTTTGTGAGTTGCTAGGCTCCTAATTATCTGTTTGACTGACAGTGAGCTTTCACCGTCTGATCCATAAGTGAGAGGTGTCTGTTGTCTCAGATTACCTTTCTGATTAGTACTTGGTCTTAAAAACCAGCAGTCCAGTGCGTAGACATTCTTGCATCTGGAAGCTTAGTGTGACCATCTAGCACTATCTTGGATACAGAAGAAAATTCTTGGTACCAAATTATCTGAAGTCCGTTGTGCTCAGAATCCTCTTGTACTGACTTATTTGAAAAAAGCCAGGCTAAAATTTTGCAAATGCCTAACAGCTTCTTGGGCATCACTGGACCACTCCTCTGGAGAGAGGGGACTGTTCTCATCAGCCCTTGAGGAACTGAGCGTGTTTCTGGACCTTGCTCTGGTTTTGGTGCCTTCCATATTCTGAAAACATTGCTACCTTTCACTGGCTCCAGGACAAGATATCAGTAGCTCCTCTTTCACTCCAGGACTGCATTCCTCCTTGCTGCTCATCCTTTTCAGCAATAGTTACCTGTCACTGCAAGCCTCAGTACCTTCCAGTGTTGCAGAATGCTGCAGAATTAACCCTTTTCTCTAAAAATCTTCTCATCAAATGATATCTGAGGTACTGTAAGCTGATTTACTCACACACTAGGAAAACATGACTGTGCTTACCATCAGTCCTTTGCCTGCAGTATGTTATCTTGTGGAGAAGTTACATAGAATGTGTTGTACCATGAATTTACTAGCAGATTAACTGGACAAATTCTTACCTAAATCACAACTGGGAAATACTTTCCATATTGATGAAAAATGTTGGCTCTCTTGCTGCATGTCAGTAACTGTGGCTAGTGGCCTTAGCTGTACTTTGGATGTTAGAGTAAGATGAAAAGAGAGCTTTACTTATCCTGACTTACTCGATCTGACTAAAGTAATTTCAGTACAATTGCTCTTTGCCAGGTCTTCGGTATATATGATGTCATTCTCAGTTCTGCTGGGACTGAATCTGGGTTGTTTGAGTGACACATTAATTCTACTGTTCATTTTCTAGTTAGGGAGTTCCCTGTGGAAAATGATTTCAAGTCTTGTTTGAATCCGGAGATTTTTCTGACTTTTAAGTCCCACTCATTCAGCCTCCTCATTTGTGCATTGGGAATCAATATGGTACATAGGATGCATACGAAGCTAGAAAAGTAACTTTTTATTTGGTTTTTAACCTCTTTATTATCTACCTGATATAATGTACTAATGTAGTTCTTAAGAGAAGCAGAGGAAAAGGAAAAAACATACTGAAATGATTTACTAGAAATGCATGACTGAGTTTTAAACATGTAAGCAGTTAGAGAGGACCTAAATGAAGCAGCTGAAAATAGTCATAAACAAAGGAGATAAAAGATGAAGAGGAGTAAAAAAAAATTCTGGAAGTCTAGAATTTGAAAGAAGGAAGTCAAAAGCTTCATTAGGAAATCATTAGATTAGGAGAGGTCAAGACCATCTTCAGGGTTTCAGAAAAAGCAATAGCTGGATATTGGAAAATAGTTCTTGTAGAGAACTGATACCTTACTGCCATGTGTCGGAGAGACTGAGAAGATGGAGTACAAACCTCTTCCCCCTGCCCCCGTTCAGCCCAGCTTTGTGGTGCGTGAGTGTTCTTGATTGTAGTGACTATTTGTAATACAGTTTGCAGTTTCTTTCTTCTGTGCTACTTCTAATCATTCATAAATACAAAACATCACGCCATTACTCTCTGTCCCCTTAATTTAAGACTCACTGGTGAGGTGGGCAGATGCTAGTTTAAGTTACCTGAACCAAAAAATGTCTTTCATGATGGAAAAGAACAACTGATAATGATTTTTAGTAGACTACTTGGACTCAGTACTTTGTGAATGGAATTTTAAAACAGAATTTCTGTTGAAATCTGTTTGAGAGACAAGAATTACCATTCCTAACCAATGAGTTAAAAGTTCTGCAGACTTTTTTTTTCTATGTTTTTAAAAAGATTTGACACACCTAGAGATTTTTTTCATTTCTAAGGTAAAAAATTGGGATACTAATGGGGGCATTTTATGAGATTTCTTCTTCAGACAAGCACAGCAGATTTTGTACTAAGCTTTCATGCTCCTATATATAGGAAAATACTTCATAGTAAAACAAATGTAATATTTTCCCACCATCTTAGTGCCTTTAAATTTTTAGTGCTTCAATAGTCAGAATACTCATATGTGTAGTAGAATAAAGGAGAAGAGAGTGAAGGGGTTTACATTTCTTACTATCTTCTTTTAGTAAGGGATAGAAACCTTAAGACCTTGTGACATTTTGGGATACTCCTTGGCCTGCTGAAAGCCTGTAAGCTATAAGGTAACTAGTAGTGGTCACAGAGTACTTTTTCCTCTATTCTTTGTTATACCAGTTTGGCTGTGGAATTAAGTTAGCAAACAGTTGTAGTAAGATGACATTCACTCACTGAGGAAACTAAGAGTTCTTGTTTCTGAGTTTGAGGAGAAGAAAAAAAACTGCCCCTGAGAAAGTGACAGATGGTCCTTAAAGACATTTTGCAAAGAAGGAAATTATAGCTGCTCATACCTTATTCATTTAATGATTGTATGATTCATTTCCCTGAACAGGTTCAGAGATCAAGAGAAAGTGTGTTCAAGTACTGTGCATATCCAAGTTATAGAATTTCTTCTGTAATCATCCATTACTTCACTGAGACAGATACTGTAAAGGTAGCACACAGCCTTTACCAGACAAGCAGTGAAGTGTTCATTTGTCTCATGATTTATATTAACCTGTTTGCGTGGATATGCTTTCCACAACACACACACAGATGCTAAGTCCTTGGTGTGGTGAGCAGAAACACAACTATTCTAGGCAAATCTAGAAGTAGGTATATAATAGGACAGTTCAAAAGCCAAAAGAAGTAACTCATAATGCATAGGTGGTTTTCATGCCTTGCAGACAGTGGATTATTTGCCACGTGATTAGGTTGAAAGGGAACATGTGGTAGACGAGACAAATATAAGTGTGGCAGAAAGTGAATTTATCAAGCAATAGAATTTTTAATTCCCTATGTTTTTTAGCTTTTGCTTCATTTGTTGTTGAGGGTGTTGCTTTTTTTTCCAGTTTAGTTAATTTTAAGATAAAGTAATCTGTTAATTTTAGACTGTGGTGAAATGTAAGAAATATGGCAAGAAAATTACAATAGGTCATTGTGGTCCTAGTATTATAACAATTCCCAACTCATAAAATTTAGTAAAAAATGAGTTTTATTAAATCACATTACAAGAAGAGACAGCCAAAAATAGTTTGGTTTTCAAAATGTCATTAGAAATGCTGTTCTGCATTTTAATTTATTTTTTTTTAGGGGAAGCTTCAATTGCTCAGAATCATGTGTAAATAAGAAGAGAATCTTTCCCTTAAATTATCCTGACCACACTGTGTTCTGATCTTTCTCTTGAGAGCAGTGGTGGTAATCCTTGGTTGGAATTACACAGCGATGTCAAAAGAAGGACATTCATTTTATTAGGATAGTGCTCTGCTGCCTGTGTTGTCAGTAAACATTTAATAGAGAGGATAGAGACTGTTTGCATGAATCAATTAAAACCAGATCTTCCCACTGTGTTTGAGGCTCGTTAATTTAAAAGATAGCAAGTTTTTAACAAGATAAACTTACTTGGCCTTCATCTGCAAAAAAACATAGGATTTCTTGTCATGTCAAGAATTTATTATATAGTACAGCTCCATGTAGGAGCTCTCCATATTATATTCCTTTAGAGAGTTGCCCTATAATGTGATGGAATAACTTTGAAGCTCTTTAGTTGTGCTGATAGAAGCTGGAACTTTCCGAGTGCTGCAGGATGGGGTCATTTGTGGCATTTGTTTTAATAATACACTTGGCTTGACATTTTCGACATTGCAAACATCAGTCCAAACAATAGGCTTTTGAAGTAGCCAGATAGTTTTATTCATGTTTACAAACTGGAAACCTACAGCAGTGATGTTGTCATATGTCCAAGTCTAGGGAGTATGTCAGTGAATTTAGCTGATATCACCAAGTTAGCTTGCCCTGATTTTGCATCTCCTCTCCTCCCACTGGTTTCCATGCCCTCCCTGGCTGTCCCCACCATGCCCTGTGAGTTAGGCAGTGAAAAGGAGTTGGTACAAAAGAAATGTGATTCCTTTACCACCAAAGCTGACTGCTTCTCATGTTCTCTTGTGGTGTTGCAGAAGGACCAGAATTTGATGGATTTCTGGAGGAGGGTTGTTTTTCTTCTTAGGAATGTAGGAGGAGGCAAGTCTGAAAGTATATGTATTTATCCTATCTAGGAAATGTTTCTTCTGTAATAAGGTTGGCTAATGTTCCCTGGCCTTCTTTTATGCTTAGTGACAGTGACATTCCCATTGGTTCCTCTTTAATGTGGTGTTTTCAGACATCTATTTCTATTTTTATCAATCAGGGAGTAGCTTCTAGGCTTATGACTTTCAGCTGAGAGTAACTTATGCCATTGCCTTTGTTTGCTTTGATACAAGAGACTGCTGTGATCATTCTGTTGTATCACAAGTTTACTGTTGTGATGAACAGATGAGCCAACGATGTAGTAGATTTGTTAATTTATGTCTTCACTCATTTGTACTGAAAATGACATGATAATAGCAATATAAGTTGTCTAATTAAATTTCACTTGCTTTTTCCAAATGAACATCATCTGTTTTGATAAGAGCACTGTCAAATTGATTGTTGAAAATAGCCTTGCACAATTTGACTGGCTTTTGTACCTGTTGTGTAAATCTATTATTTCTGCTGCTTATAGAGATCATGCAATTGTGCTGATTGATGAATACCAATGAATTCCCAGTTAGAGGAGGTGATAATATTACATAGATAAGGGATGCATAAGATGTGAAGAAGGCAAAGATAGCAAAATCCAAGGCAGTGGTCTTTTAGTGCCCTAACACACACATCTAAAAGTTGTATATTTAGGTTTGTGTTGTAAGCTTCCATTATCTTCAGTGAAATCAAACAGGCAGGTGTCTAAGAGACTGTTAGTCACCAAATCCTTCAGTGAGACTTGAGGGACACTGACTGAAGCTAGCAGGTCAGTTCCATAATGATTTTTTAAAAAAATTATTATAAAAGTACCTTCTACAGCCAGGAACAGTGCATGTGTTGTCACATAAAGTTGTGAAGGCAAATCGGATGAAGAATTTCAGAAAGGGATTAGACAAATTTGTCAGTAAACAGACATTGAAGCAAATAGAGATCTACCCTTCGATGTCTTTGGTTGTGGGTGTTGGAAGAGTTTCAAGGGGACAGAATAGTAGTGGCTAGAGTTTTGTGCTTTCCCCAAGGAGTATCTCCAGCTGTCATAATGAGAGATGGAACCTATAGCAAGATGGATAGATTTATGGACCTAGGATGGCAATTCTCAAGTTGTTCTAAGTCTTAATCTGTTGGAGGGACCTGTCTCCTCATGATGACTCTAAAATGAGCCAGGGGTGAGGTGATTGGTTTGGTCTTTGAAGCATAAATTTCAGGAGTATTATGAAGTTAGGCATATTAATCTCATGCTAGAAGTCTATGTGATTTTTCAGGGACCACACAGAGCATGTCTGTGGAGAATGTTCCTAAACTGTTACTAAATTCAGCTCTTCATGGTATCTAGGCCAACCTTTAGTGTCATCCTTTCTGTCAGTCTAATTGATTAAAGAGGTTACTCATTACTGCAGCTCTGGTAGGTGTTTCTTTCTCCTTGTTTTGCCTGTGAGACACCGTGCTTTAGGTAAAGCACTTGTAAAAGTCCATCAGATGAGTAAGATATGTCTATTTCATACATACAACGCAGTAGCCTGTGGCTTCATTGGTGGTATTTGTCCATCTTGAGGCATGCAGGTCCTGTTGCCGAGACTTGGGTACCTTTCTGAGCATAAAAAATGTGCACATTTATAAAACTGCAAGTGACATTGCACATTATGCAGCTTTTGTCTTCTTTTAAAAAAAACACAGTTGCATTGCAAATGATCTGAATTTACTGAAATATGATTTGGTACAATGATTTACCTTTTTTTCATCTATTGTAAAAGTTAAATTTGATATCCACTGCTTTAAGCCAGGTAATGCATTTCTAAACTCTTTTTCTGCAGGTCGATCTTTCCTATCCATCCTTCCTTCAGAATAGTGGTCTTAGCAGAACCTCCTGTCATTGGAAGTAGTACCCAACAGTGGCTGGGTCCAGAGTTTTTGACACTGTTTCTTTTTCATAATGTTCGATCTTTAAGCAAGAGTGAAGAAATTGAAATTATTAAAGAAATGGTAAGTACGTTCAGTATTTTAGGCACTTACTGACTGTCGCTTACTGAACAGGATTATTTGCTACATAAAAAATACATTGCTGCTTCAGTGTAGCATAAATAAGTTAATTTTCAGAGTTTAATAAAGCAGCATATCTGCTTATACTTTAATGGTATCATTCTCGTCATGATAGTAAATGATGCTGTAAATAAAAAAAATACTGTTTGTCATAAAGCAGCTGTGGCAACTGTATGCTCACTGCATCTGGATGTAACTGTATGTGGAACGTGCATGTCTTGCCGTATGATTAATGCAGGTTTTGTTTCAAGCAGATTCCAAATGTACCCAGTGCTGCTGTGGAGCAGTTGTTGTCATTAACACACAAGCTTCGGGAGACAAATGATGCCACAGTGAGCACTGTTTTTTGTTTTTCCTTCTTTAATTTCCTTTCTCCTACTGTGTCTGTTTTAACAAAGGCTGGGTGAAGCATGCTAAGCTGGACTGGTATTTCAAAGGCTGGTGGATTGGAAAACCAGCCCCAGAAAATTATTGCTGGGAATTACTGCACTGAACTGTTTTGATTTGTGATGTATGTATTTAGAACCTGCATAAGTAAAGCTTTTAGGAATTTGCCAAAATCCCAGAGTATCAAGAAGGGTATACAACTTGTTGATGAGTTTAGGTATGTGGCTCACAGTGAAACATGCTGAGGTTTCTTTTGAATAGGTATTGATGTAATCATGTGTCCCCAAATATTTGTTGATTTCTTTGCTTTAGTAATTAGAAAATTGATAGCTAAAATTATTGGGGCTTTTTGGGCAGTAGGAGCTACCTAGTTGTTATAAAATGCCAATGGGCAGCAGCAAAGACTCAGAAAGGGGAAAGCTCCAGAACTCCTGTCTGCTTTACTGCTAAAGGCTATTCTATTAAAGAAGTCATGTCAAGAAAAATAAGTTCTGGTGACAAAATGACCACAAAATTCTTTAAAAAGATATGGTTAAATCATGGCAAAAAGAAAAAGAAATTACTGGTATAGCAACTAAAACACTGCCTGTTTTCGTTGTAACTAAAATGTAAAGCATTTTTAGTGGAATCTTACAGTTTAACTGGTGTGCAAATGTAATCCATTGTCCTTAGTTTTCATGATTTTAGCATGGGTTACAGTTTTTACAGTATTACTATTTAAGCAGCTGAAAGAGCCTGTTATGCTCTTTTGAGCTTCAAAGAAGTAAGCAAAAAGATTGACTTGTAGGTATACCTTTGGGACAACGTTGTTATTATTATCTATTTAGCTTCCTACCTCTGATGTATGAATGCACTGGTTTTGACATACTTGGAGACATATCATACCTGAATAGAGCATTACAAAATTCCTTTCCAAATATGTGGATATCTATAGAATTGTGAAATATCTAAATGAATTAGATGATGTTGGATGAGAAGTGAGTCACAGTATAGTTTGAGGGAGGATTCTTGTAGATCAGCAGTGACATGAGACATGTTGGGAATAGTGCACCTGTGTGGTGAGCTGAAATATGTGCCTGAGGTATGTAAGGCTATTTATAGAGTTGTCTAAGTAAATAAGCCTCTGCCAGAGATTATCCTGAAATATTAACCATTGTTTACAGTGATTTTGTTAACAATAGAAGAATACCTGTAGACTGTTCGCTCTGTGGGCGTTGTCTGCATCATTGTAATTGTTTGCTTGATTTACAACAGAATCTAGAGACCACAATCAAGATGCTTCATAGATATGTATTACAATGACTGTCACTAACCCAATTTTGAGTTTACAGTTGTTCAATATAAAAAGAATAAAAAGCAACCTAGGGGAGAGAGAGAAGGAAATTTTGTTCCCAAAACTTTTAACTACCAGTTGCAAATATTCAGAAGATGTGATACAGCTTTTCCTCAGTGGTCCTGTCCTCTATGCTTATTTATTTCAGTACAGGATCTGATGCAATATGTTCTTTAGAATTTGAAATGCATGCATCCCTAGAGATTGGACCTAATCGAGATGGCACAATGTAAGAAATACACTCCCTCATTTCATATGCCCAGCTGCTTTTCTCCATCAGTGCTGTTTCATAGCTTGTGACTTAAGAGTATTGCTTACCTGCCAAATCTTACTCTACTTGGGAACCTTTCAGCTGTTTTAGTTACTTTTGGAAAGAGAATATAGTCTCCAAAGGTATTGAGGGTTCCAGCTAGTGGGTAGGAATAGCAAGGATACAGCACTTGCCCCTCTCCCTTGCTCTTGGTTCACACATGGCTGAGTAGGTCATCTGAAGTGCCATCATTTACTTCACAGTGTCCACAATGCTGGGTGGTAAACTACAGTTGTTCAGAAGATGCTTCACAACCTTCTGTCAGTGAATGCACGAGGAGCAGGAGTAGTAATCTTTGCAGTTAGTTTTTTTAAATATAAATGCCTTTTTGTCAAAACTGCAGTTTTTCAGGAGAAAGTATTGATGTTAAAACATTTCACATGCTTAAAAATTAGTAGGGGGGCAAAAATGCCCTGAAATTCATGAAGTGTTGCTTTTCTCTATCTTTTCCTCTGGATGTCAAATTTCAAGATTCTTTTTCTAACTACACCATTATATATTAAGGTAATTGTAATGCAGTTCAAAATCATTTACATGAACCCAAACAAAGCATTTTGAAATTACCTCATTAAAATATTTCACTTGACCCAGACAAAGCATGGTGCGATTTATCAGATCATGCTCATTGTTGTGTGTTTCCTGC